GCCGCAACTGGTGAATCAGGCGAACCTGATAAAACGCCCCCCTGGTCACGGCCGACAACTGGTCTTCCAGCGTCAGCCGCGAATCCAGGAGGACACCCAAGTTGCGTACCCTCTCCGAGGGGGCCAAAGTTTCGCCCCCTATAGTCAGCGATGGAATCAGCTGACTATGCCGAGGCGCCGGTAACCACAGCCACTCGGTATTAGGGATAGATCTATTTTTTTAATTAAGTAGAAATAAGTAAAATTAGAAAATATTAGCAACCATGCTGAATACTGTGACTAAGCCAGGACAAATATAAAAGCTTTTATTTTAGACTGTAAACTCCTTGAGACACTATGCATTAAAGCAGGGGTCCCCAACCTCCGGTCCGTGGACTGGTACCTGTCCGTGGCATGCCAGCAACCGGTCTTCACAAACAAGCAAAGCCCCATCTGTGGGATGCAGGCAGCACACAAAACCACACACTCTCCAGTCCGTGGAAAAACCTTTCTCCACAGAAACGGTCCCTGGTGCCCAAAAGGTCAGGGACCTCTGCATTAAAGTTTTTAAAATTGCCACACAAAATGATGTTGCTTTAGAAATAATAATATACAAATGTCCTCAAATGGGTTATGAAGATAATCATGGTTTCTGAAATGCCAGAACTGTAGCAAATAAAGAGTTAACATTTATTGTGGAAAAGAAAGTGGTAACAAATAAGGTATCTTAATTAGAATTATTGCGATAGAAAAACATCTTTCTTTTTAAGTGGCATTTCCCAGAACTCTGCAATGTCTTGTGGCAAACTGAGAAATATCCGGAGTATAGTGGGTAGCCTGTAGGTTTTCTGCAGGGGTTACTACAGAGAATTGACAGAGGGTAGCTTGGCAAATGTTCAGAAACTCACATTAACTTGGTTAAGCTCCACATGGGACCTTATATTCAGTAGAATTCTTCTGACCTGTCTCTCTGCATGCCAAGCTAATCAGCAAACACCTTAATGAGCCTGCTGTAAAGAAACAGACCTTTTCTTAAGTTCATTTTTATACATTCTCAGAGGGGGAGGGGGGGAAAAAGACTTCATGAGGACTGATGATGCTGCAAAGACCACAATAATGATAATTAACTTGCTGAATTTAGAAGATTATGCTGTTAATTAGTTGCAAAATAAAGATAAGTAATAGAGTAGCAGATGGTAAGATAACACCCAGGAGAAGGAAGGTTATTACTCTGATGAGATTTTGTGGCAGATATGAAATATGGATCTGACTTTTTCATAAATTGTTTTTACAATAATACTGTTTCTATGAACTCATGATTGAGTGATCTATTGCAGCGAATTCAGGCAGATGTAATAGGGATTTATTTTCAAGGATGGAGGCATTTTTTTCAAACACCTGTATTGTTTATTATTAAACAGCAGTTAATATTTCAGATGTATTGTGAATGTATTTTATTTGTTTATGTAGTTGTTTAGTTTCTATAGTTGCCCATCCCAACCAGTGACCCTGGGCGATATACATCATAAAAACATAAAACAATAGAAAATAAATATATATGGTTGCCAAATAAAACGACTACTATTTATGTTAAGATAGCTAAGAAACGGGACCCTTAACACATTTAGGGTCCAAACCTAAACACATAATGTGATCTTCACAGCTTTACAAAAGGCTAGTAGGATTGGGGTCATCCTGATCTCTGAAGGAAGAATGTTCCAGAGACAGCAGGTCTCCTAATCCCCATCAAACAATATTCCTTGGCTGATAGGATCCATAAATGCCCTATCTGCCATTTTGAATTAGATGGCTAGAAACAGCTGAGAGGAGATAGTCCCTAAGGCAGCGGTTCTCAACCTATGGGTTGCGACCCCATTTGGGGTCGATCGACCATTTCACGGGGGTCGCCAAGCAAGGCTGTCCGCCATTTTTTTTGTCCGCCATTTTTTCCCCTTTTCCGGCGGGTGCCTTACCTACCTTGGGCTGGGCCAGCTGGTGGTCGGCCTGCTCTGTCTCTGCCGCTTGCCAGCTACGCCTCGGCCGGCACAGGGGACGGAACCATGCATGCGCGGCGCTCCCGGGCAGGGAAAGTCCTCGACTTATGACCGGTTGGGTAGTCCTCGATTTACGACCAGTTTAGTCCTCGACTTACGACCGGTTTAGTCCTCAACTTATGACCAGTTGGGGGTCACGGCATTAAAAAGGTTGAGAACCACTGCCCTAAGGTATTCTGGTTGTGAGGGGCTTTAAAGATGACAACCAGCAGCTTGAATTTTATCCAGAAATACTCAACCAGCAATATAGTTCACATAGTATTGATGTTACATGTCAAACATCTGATCCAGCAATATTTTTCACCAGTTGTTACTTCCAAATATTTTCCAAGGGCAGCCCTATATAGAGCCAT